GTCTCACTCGTTACTCTCCTGGTAGTGTCCTGTTTGGCACTCTCCTAGTAGTGTCCTGTTCAGTACTCTGCCAGTTGTGTCTCACTCGTTACTCTCCTGGTAGTGTCCTGTTTGGCACTCTCCTAGTAGTGTCCTGTTCAGTGCTCTGCCAGTTGTGTCTCACTCGTTACTCTCCTGGTAGTGTCCTGTTTGGTACACTCCCACTTGCATTCTGCTCTGTTCTTTGCTAGTTGTGGCCTGCTCAATACCCTTCCAGTCGTGCCCATATCAATACTTTCCCACTTGTGCTCTGTTCGGTTCTCTCCCGTTTGTGTCCTGCTCGATAATCTCCTGATTATGTCCTGTTTAGTACTTTCCCGGGAGTGCCCTGTTCAGTACTCTCCCAATTGTGTCCTGCTTGGTACTCTCCCGATTGTATTGTGCTTAGTACATCCCCAACTGTGTCCCTCTAAGTACTCTTCCAGTTGTGTCCTGTTGAGTACTCTCCCGATTGTTTTCTGCTTGGTACTCGCCCAATTGTGACTTGCTCTGTACTTTCCCTGATTGTGTCCTGCTCTGTCCTCTCCCGATTGTGACCTGCACTGTACTCTCCCGATTGTGACCTGCACTGTACTCTCCCGATTGTGACCTGCACTGTACTCTCCCGATTGTGACCTGCACTGTACTCTCCTGATTGTGACCTGCTCTTTACTTTCCTGATTGTGTCCTTTTCAGTACTTTCCCGAACGTCTGCTGCTCTGTACTTTCCAGATTGTGTCCTGCTTGGCACTTTTCCGGTTGTGTCTTGATTTTCTCATTCTTTCTGAAGTAGCTTCATTAGCTTATCGAATGCACACTGGTTCCTTCAAAAATGACTACTCAGTGTTCCATTTTGCCTAATGTACCCCCTTGGAAGAGGGTTGTACTTGCTCTCATCAGGTTTACATTTCCAAAACAAAAAAAAAAACATTTCTCAAAATGAGAATGCCACACATGACCTTCAAAGAAAGTCCACACAATAGCTCCCTTAATACCATGAGCCCCAGACAGTTTAGAAGTGGAACTGAAAGGCTGGGAAGCGTGTTTCTGGGAGCTTAACCAATTTCAGCGAGCAGGCTCCTGTGCTGTCAAGGCGATGAGCGCCTTCACAAATCAGCACAGAACTGACCCTGATGTATGTCTAGGCAGGCATCTCCTGAAAGATCCACACAGAGAACATGCCTTCTTCAAAAGCCAGTTTAATTTATCTAGGAGAAGGGAAATAAAATGCAGCAGAGAAAAAGAATCCAAAAATTCACATGGAGGATGGCGACAATGAGTTGACATTGAGTTATAGAGGGTGTGCTTATACTATACTGTATTGAGGCACTCTAGGGTGTGGTTTGCAGCTGTCAGTCTGGTCTGTGGCCCGAATTGCACCACGTCGCGGAACGCTGGGGGATTTGCAGAGGGGCTGGCTAATAGCTAAAAATGAACCATATATCTTCAGTCTTTGATGACTAATTACATCCGCTTATTGTGGTCGCATCAGAAAACAAAACGGAAACAGTTAAGGTTACGAAATCGCTGATAGATCTGCCAGCAAACCCTACCCAACCCATGAAGTTTTTGTAAGATGCAAACCAGTCCTCAGACATCCACACCTACTCAAGGGCACCCAGTTTCTTTTGGGAGTATCCGGCAACTTTCACATAAACTGCTACCAGTCATCTTCACCATCTCCTTGGCAGGGCCCCTCATCCAACACAGCTTCCACACATTATCCATTTTCACAGCCATCTACACAGGTTGCTGCTCTGTTTTCACTGATGTTAGAGGTCTTCCACCAAAACCGGTTCATTTCAGTGCTGGGCTGTTCACTCAGGCTGAACACTGACTGAATGTTTGAGCGACTGACGTTCAGCTTAACGACTCTTAACGGGCACCTCAAGTAACGCACCATGTTGCCTTGACGACTCGGGTGAGCCCCAGGGAAAGCTAGTGGGTTGTACAGTTAACTCCCTGGATGTGATTCTAAACCATACAACCTACTACCTCAACCCGGATGCGCACGGTCTCTGCAGAATTGCCTTTGCCGACAGAGACGGCTCACTCTCCAGTGCAATCTCCAGGACTAAATGGGACATTAAACAGTCGATAATTTATCTCAGTCAAAAATCCACCGCATAATTCTGAAACACTTTTTCATCCTACAAGTCCTTCTTTCCGGTAATAAAATGTATCTCTGTGATTCTGAGACATGGCTGCACCTAGAGTGAATTCTCTGACCTTGATGTCAGCT